TTTTTTTTTTTTTTGAGATTTTTTTGCTATAGGGCTCATGTGCTCTCTGGAAAGACAGAGACAGAGGGACAGAAAGAGAAAAATCACCCTCCTGTGGGGATGGACACATTGTAATCCTTCTTCTCTAGTCTCCTCTTGGGATTTTGGACATACACGCACATGTTCCTGGCATGAGTTTTAAACCACCTGGCCCAGGTCTTGAACCATGTTTGACTACATGGTTGTCCAGCAACGTAACCATTAGACCACCTCCTGATCCTCTTTCTTGGCTTATTAAAAGAGCTGTTACAGAGGCCAGCAGGTGGTATAGTGGTTAATATGCTGGACTCCCATGTGACTAACTACAGTCTGAGTCCTGACCCAGTGGCTTAAAACTCAGGCTGGGTGCGTGCACCTAAAATAGTAAGAGGAGAATGAAGGAGAAGGGATTGCAGCATGGCCATCCCCTTTGAGAGATGATTTCTTGTTTTCTGTCTTTCTATCTCTCTAGTGAGGACACACACTTTATAACAAACAAACAAAAATCTCTCTCAAAAAAGAAAAAAGATGAGTTACAGAAATCCTTTAATTCTGGACACAACTTGTGGATCCAGGCCAGTAAGAAGGAATTTGGGAAGCATTGTTTTGGAGACTGGGACAGAGGAGAAGAGGTGGCTCCAGAGTTTGGCTTCCTAGAAGATATTGGTAGCCTATGGGCCAAATACAAAAATCAGAATTTGGGCTTGAATGACTGGCATTCTAAACTGCTTTACAAATAAAGCTGGCTGGACCAGCAGTTGGCATAATGGCTATGTTGCTGGACTCCTATGTGGACGACCGTGGTTTGAGTCCCGGACCCAGTGGCTTAAACTCTCACCGGGCGCGTGTGCGTGCGTGCCCAATATCCCAAGAGGAATACAGAGCAGAAGGGATTGCAACGTGGCCATCCCCCCTGGGGGATGATTTCTCTCTTCCTGTCTCTCTGTCTCTCTCTGTCTTTCTGCCAAACAATATGCCCTATGAGAGGAAAAAAAAAACCTATCCAAAATAAATTAGTAATCTCCAAAATAAATAAATAAAATAAATAAATAAATAAATAAGTGCTAGCTAGAAGGCAGGGTGACAAAACGAGCTATCACACTTTCAACGCAATGATATCTACATTCCGAGATCCTATGGGCACAGAATTTGCTAGAGGTCATCACTGAAATAGAATCGGACGCCCTGAGTATTCAGGGACCAGACAGCAGTGTTAGCATTGTGTACTGCCGGACCCTGGAACTTCCTGTGGAAAATACGCAACATTATATCAAACGTGCATCAGGTATTCTGTAAACAGAAGTATGTAAATTTAATACAAATGAAAGCATAATGTTGGGCGCATTGTGGGAGGGGGGTCAATAAATTCTTGTTTTCTACCAGACAGATTTGGTTCTTTTGTTGATGTAGGTAAGTACAAAAAGTCTGTCCAGTTAGCATTGCATATCATTCAGTGCATTACCCCATTTGAGACTAAGAACAAAACCTAGGCCAGAAACCAAAACGCGCCAGTGCCCCAGAGCTAGTTATTTTGGGAGCACAGACACCTGCCCACAAGTCTCATGGAACACCATTTGCAGAGAAGGTAAGCCCAGTTAAGTTCCAGTGAAAAGATGGGCATTTAAATAGGGGGCACGTTCCCTAGCGCAATGCAGCTAATTTAGCTGAGTTCAGTGCAGAATTGGAAACCTGGACTGACACCTATCTACATAGACTGGCTCAGATTTGAGAGCTACCCTAAGCCTCCCTTGGCCATCTCAGCTGGCCATCTCAAAGCCGCCCTGGGTGGTAGACACGGTCCAGCTGCGCAGTTCTCAGTGGGCTTGCCCTGGGCAGAGAGACCCATTCAAGGGCAGCTCTGTTTCAGAAATGGAGTCCACTCTGTCCCTTCTTTCTCCTTCTCATCCCTTTGGATGGCTGTCCAACTGAGACCCCCAGGGGTGACCTACACCATTTCCTGGAGGCTATGAGGTCACTAGTATGCTGCAGATGGGACGTCTCACAGCCACCTGTGGGCTGCGAGGCCAAAAGAGGGAAGAGTGCATCTCAGCGGGGAAGCGGCGCAGGGGGGCGGGGGCTGCCGAGGGGAGCGGTGACTGCCAACTACATCCAGAATGAGGTAATTTTTGCTGGAAAATGAACTGGAATTTTGTCATCCCGGTATCTGGCGCCCGGAAGTGTTTGGACAGGTGGAGGGTGTTCGGGTGAGCTCGCTGCGAAGGGGCGGGAGGGGGGAGGGGGCGGGGGAGCGTCACCTTTGGAACTTTTTTTGAGGCTCAGTTCCCCAGCAGTCCACCTGGCGCGGGACCGACAGTCCTCCAGGTCCGGCCTTCTGCGATGGGACGGATCCCAGACCTGCAGGTGTTGTCTATTCTGGATTAGGACAGCCCGCCTGGGTCCCAGCCTAGCCCTGACGGTGCGAGTGCGCGTGCGAGCGTTGACAAGGCAGCTCCTCCGCGGAGGCGGAGAGAAGCCAAAGCGCGCCTCCTCCCCGCCCCCCATGCCCTCTTTAACTCCCCCCGGGGTCTAGGCCGCGCTGTGCGGGATCCGCGCGTGTGGTCTTCCCATCCGCTCGGCTTTTTACTCACAGCGGCCGGCGGGCACTGAGCGTGGCAGGAGCCTGGGATAGCCCCTAACGGGCGCGCGCCCCCGAGCGTGCTTCCCCCCCGTGCGCGCGCCCTGTACGCGTCTCCGGCTCGAGCGCGCTCTCGCGGGGAGCCCGAAGCAGAGCTCGCCCAGGCGGAGTCCCGAGGCTGTCTGGAGGGGTCTCCCCGAGCGCACCGCGGCGGTTATGCCCGACTGGGTGCAATCGTTTCGTGCTTTTCTTCCAGCGCCTTTATTGCGCCCGTATTTTGGTCGTTATCTGCAGAGCCATTGATTCTCTGCGGCCCTCTGCTTGCCTTCTGTTTTCTTTTTCCTAAGTACAGAACATTTTTTGGTAAACATTTCCTCAAGTGATATACTTTAGGGTGTAGCTGGCCCATAAAACAGCAATCACTGCCTTCTCTGGAGTCAGCTGGCTACCAAAGAGGAAAGGAAAGAGAGGCTAACCCTTGATTTTCTTTCTGGTTAATACGGAGCTGGAGCTGGACTCAGGACCGGCCCCTGCACGCTCCGAGGGACATTACAGTCCGAAAGTCTAGGAAAGAGCTGGAGGGGAGACGCAGGTCCTCAAAACTGGGGGAAAGTGAGGAGAATGGACTTCCCAGCAGACTAACGTCTGTAGCCCACGGCAATCGCTTCCCGTAGTCCTTTAGTTTTAGGAATAACCGAGGGTAGTCTTGCTGTAAAATGAACAAATTGGTGACTCCATTTTTTGGGTTCTCTTTCCAAATAAAAAATTGCTTCATTTACATATGTCTGTTTACAAAAACAGGACATGTTCATTATTTTGGAAAATAGTAACTGTTCTAATTCTTAACTAATATGATGACTTTTGTTTTGTTTTGGGCCTTATTTTTATTTCCCAGAAAAAATCAAATCAAATGTTTCCACAGCATCTGTTGTGGGTGAACCCCGTATTGCTGTGTGGCTTGAAACGTCAGAAACACTTGAAGCTGTTAAACTTTAATCAATGATCGCTCAATATGATTAACTTGTTTCACATGTTAACTTCTCATTTCTGATTAGAAATTATCAGAAAAGATTAAGGATGAAAATAGATGACTTATATTTTGAATTATATTTCCTAGCTGATTTTGGCTAATGGAATGCCATCCAAAACATTGGATATAATGAATAATATTCATCAGTTCAAATAGCAGTTTGCTTTCTTTGAATTGCAAAAAAACATACATGTGCAATTACACATAGGCTTATTGTGTGCTTTTAATAAACATGAGAAAAGCAATGACTTAACATCTAATATCTGTCAGCAAGATTAAATTACACGATTAATGTAGTAGCATATTTAGATAATTAGAGCAACTCCTACTTACCAATAGGTGTATGTTCATGCTTTAGAGTCGCTTGTAAATTCCCAGTGTCCGAATTCGAAGACATTCTTAGTCAAATGATAGGCTGTCCTTTGGCTTAAAGCAGAAATCATTGAGCATCAGGAAAAACAGTTTGTCAAATGTTGTGGCCTGGAGAAGGACACATCAGACACACTGATCCTCAGTGAAAGTTAAGAAAAAAGGGAAAAAAAAATCCAGAATTCAGAAAGTTACGAGCAAGTCTTTCCCTGGACTCTGTACTTTTTCCAGCATTCGTGACCCGCTGTAAACCATGTATCCAGTTTCTTGATGGTTTCTAATCAGAAGAATGGGAACTTGTGATAGGCTTTGACTGATCACATGACTCCATGCAGGTTGATAAGAGGACCCTGTTATAAAGTGACAGCAGAAGAGATAAGAACTCTTGGCAGATAATGGCGAAGAAATGATTAACTCAGAAGTGGAGAGGTGCCATGCTGCACAGAGAGTGGAAAGTTGTAAAACTGAGGGGTCAGAAGATCATACTGAGTGGATAAAACTCCAAACCAGCTCAAAGCCACTAACTAAACTTAGGTTTGTGACATGCTCCTGGATGCCATCACTCTTTGCATAAGGGAGGACAGACATTGCTCTTCTAACCTCTGTAAATACATTTCAAACGATAACATCGGCACACACTAATTCTTTAAGTGACGACTGCATATATGATTGACACTTTGATGTACCACAGGTAGCATTTCCAAACTTTAGTTGTGTTTTGATCAACCAACTTTTTTGTTTTGTTTTGAGGTTTCAATATTTTATTCAAATTTTATTTTTAAGTGATGTTAATTACAGCATTTGAAGGGGAGGATCTAATTCCACACTAAATGGAAGACTCTAAAATGTATCCCATTGAACTGCTAAAAAATAAATTGTGTGGTGAGAATACAACAGAAGTCCAATTTGGATTCCAAGTGTTGTCACCGTGTGATTATAACCACACAGACTCTTCCCAGCTTGCACCTGGAGCTCCTGGAAGCTATCTCATACTCTGGTGCAAGGGGAAACACACACACACACACACACACACACACACACACAACACACAACACAAGAAGGAATTAAGTCCTGAATTATTGGCTTCATCACATACACTCCCTCCACCCCAAAATGGCACAAAAGAAACAGCTAGCACACCCAGCAGACTACTTTGGTGTAAAGGAAGTGATGATGGAGTGGGGTGGAAATAGGTCATAAAGATCTGTCTATAAAAGTCCCTTTCAGAGGAGTTTGTACACACCATCAAGCAAATGAGCCTCTCACCAATTAAGGTTAGGAAACTAAGGTTCAAGTCTCAAGAAGTCACAATAGCATTCCTTTATTCAATAGGAACTTACAAAGTGCCTACATAGTATCAACTTCCACCTGCAGCTATTTCTAGATTTAAAAAAAAAAACAAAGATATAAACCAAAAAAATACCTGCATCTCTAGAAGGGCCACCACGATCCTGCCCCCCAAACCCCCAGCCCATGCCTATAGCTGAAATGACCTTTTTTTGGAATTGGGTCCCTTCTGTACCTCTAAAGGGTACCACCTTAAAGCTCAATTGTCTTTAACCTGGAGGTCTAACATGATATTTAGCAATACTTGCATCCCAGACATACAACATTAAAAGGCACACTAAATTCTGAAGGTAGCTATGCTGCAAAACAGTTTTAAAATTAAATGATCGTACAGTTATTTTTTTATGCTTGAAATTCCAGTCCTAGACTAAGCTTGTGGCCACCAGCGTTGGCATTCTTGCCATCCAGCAGAGCTGACAGCGTCAATTTGATGCCTGGCTTTAGGATCTGAGTGTATCCTAGGCCTATCAGACTGGAGTTATTCACTTTAGCAGAGAAACAGGTGTCGGGTTGGTCTGATACTTGGCTGCTATTTCAAACCTCGAGTTACTGTTTCCTGCTGTCCAGGGGAGATTGACAGCAGTCTCCACCTTCTTGTTCACCTTCTGGTAAATGGAGCCACCAAACTCTGTCCCATCATTCACGTCAGTGTGAAGCTGGAATTCATCAGCCATGTAGCCCACCGTGAAGTTGCTCGGGGTCACTCGGGATTTCTCAGTCTCAAAATTCATCTGGTGGCCAGCCAGCCAGCCCTCGTAGCCCAGCACTAGAGCTCCCTGGATGGAAGGTCCAGCAATGTCGAAATCCACATTGCAGGGACCAGCAGTTAGCATAACGGCTATGTCGCTGGACTCCCACGTAATCGACCACGGTTCGTGTCCCGGACCCGGTGGCTTAAAACTCACGCCAGGCGCGTGTGCGTGCGTGCCCAAGATCCCGAGAGGAGAATGGAGGAGAAGGGATTGCGGCATGGCCATTTCCCCTGGGGGGTGATTTCTCATTTTCTATCTCTCTGTCTCTCTCTGTCTGGCCAGTGCACGCACCCTATAGCAAAAACCTCTCAAAAAATAAAAATAAAATAAAAAGAAATCTATGTCGCAGTCCAGGTTGATGTGCTCCCGCTTGTAGGCTGTATTGATTTTAGCGGCCCCCCCCCCCATCTCCCACCCTTGTGTTAGGTGAGAAGGAAGAGTCCAAGGTCAGCTTCAGTCCATGAGCAAGCTGGTCTTCCATGATGCTCCCGGTGCCTAACCTATGGTCAGTGTTGCACTTCTCCAGAAACGTCGGATGGTATTCGGGCCATCTGTACTTGGTTTCCAGACTGCCCGTCACTTCGGTGGTCTGTGTTGGCTGAGCCTGAGCTGGTAAATTCCAATCCATGCTCAGACTTTGTTTTCAAATCAAGCTTTATTAGGCCAAATCCATAGCCCTTGGTGAAGACATCCCTGGCAGGCTTGTCCAGATCGACGTACGTGGGAGGCACAGTTATCTTCTGCTTGGAGACGGTGGTAGTGGGCTCGTGGGTGGCTACGGCGGGGGCTGCAGTGCAGAGGACACAACTTTTTTTTTTTTTTTAAGAGAGATTTTTGCTATAGGGCATATGAGCTCAGCAGAGAGACAGGAAGTGACAGATCACCCCACCTCCCTGGAGGGATTGCCATGTCACAATAGCATCTCCATTCTCTTCTTGGAATTTTGGGCACACAGATGCATGTGCCAGATGTAATTTTCAAGCCACCAGGTCTGGGACTTGAACCGTGGTCAACCAGGTAAGAGTCCGACGCCTTAACCACTATATCACCTGGTGGCCCCCAACCACTTTTTAAAAAATTATACGTATTCATTAGATGAATTAGGCTTAGTTTGTGGGTACTTTGGTCACTTGGTTAAAAGGGCAACCTAGGTCTTTACTTCCACAAAGTAAATTAAAGAACCTCATGATGCTGAGATAAATGCTGGCAAAATGATGAATATGTAATATGTTTTCCATAATTTTGAAGTTTTAAACTTTGTTCGAATCTACAGAGAAAATCTGTGTGTCACTGCATATCACCCCTCACATTGGGGAAAGTTTGTTGTTTGTACTGTTTGTTTTGGTTTTACTAATGAAACAACCTTTTTTTTTTGGTCAGAGATTCTATATTTAAGAAAAATCCAAACTATTTATGTACAGCACTGGTCTCTTCAAAATTGTATATTTTAGGATTAGATTTGACTAGACATAATGGAAAAATCAGAACAACTGTGATGTAAACAAGATGTTTCTTTCTCTTTTATTAAAGAAGCTTAGAGAGAGGTAGGCAATCGAGGGATGGCATAACGGTTCCACACAGTGTTCCAGGATTAGTCTTATTATCCTCCACCTCTTGTCCTCTTGTTCCAAAATGACTGTTTGAATTCCAGCCATCACTGTTTGAAGCATAATGGAGAAAGAGAAGAAGAAGCACACTTGACTTACAATCTTACTAGGCAGAACTTAGGCACATATCCCCCTTAGCTACAGGGAGGGTGGGAAGTGAAGTATTTTACCGGGGCAGCTAAATAGGTGCTCAGACTAAAAAGGATTGGGGGATTACAATGATCCTTGCCAACTCCTCACAATTACTTCTTCAAATAATCAGGCAATAATGTAGACATATACCCATGTATGTTCAATGACATATAACGTTGTAAAGTAGTTGTTCTCTTACAGATTTTTTAGGTCTCCAAAAAGTTTTTTGCTTACATCAATTATATCTATTAGTATTTGCTATAATAGAAATTAAAATAAGAGGTCAGGGCCGGCAGGTGGCATGGTGATAGGGTTGCTGGACTCCAACATGGCTGACCGTGCCAAGACCTGGCAACTTGCCTTCTCACTCTCCTTCTCTCTCTGTCTTTCTCTGGCCTAATTGAATAATAGTAATAAATAAATAAATCATTTTAATCATTTTAATTAAGTAAGTAATTAATTAAATTAATTAATTAAAATAAGGGGCCAGCATGCGGCATGGCGGTTGGAGTATGTTGGACTCCTACATGGCTGACTGCAGTTCAAGTCTTGGACCAGGCAACTTGCTTTCTCACTTTCCCTCTCTCTCTCTCTGTCTCCTTGGTGAGTGTCTATATCAAATTTAAAAAATAATAATAATGAAATTAATTAAATAATAATTATTTTTTCTTT